GCTAAAGGAGTGTAGTTCTCTCATTTTCCAAGACTTTCCATGATTACCAGGCTTGGTAACTGTAGTCGACGTAAGAGAATCCCATAGAACCATCTCTTAGGTTCGTAGCCTATAGGAAGTAAAAGGAGGTCCAAGGTCAGAGTACCCCTATAGACAAATTATGTCATAGACAAATTATGTCATAGACAAATTATGTCATAACTTAACCAATCTTGTGGGTAACTAAAGAGCGATGACATGTAATGAATCATAGAGGTTCGTAGGAGCTTTTAGAGCTATCGTTCATGCTCCTAGGCCTCTAGTTGGTAGAGATATGTCATGTGGTAGTATGAGTGATGTCATGTAATGAATCATAGATGGTTGTAGCAATCGTTGAGTAGTATTGCTCTTGTTGTTGGTGTGATAAGCCAAAATATGTATAGTGACTTGTAGGTTTGAGGAGGAGATTTCCAAGTTTGCTCTTGAGTTTGATAGCAAACTGAGTGCAACGAATGTCAGTATGACACTCGGAGTCCTGGACTCTTAGGACTCTTCTCATCATCCTGCGAGTCCGTCACATGATACTTTCAGAACTACTATTCCCCGCTGCCCCTCCAGGTACCAGGGCCGGTCTCATGCGACCTCCCTCCTTCCTGTCCTGTAGTTGGCCAGCCTTCTTGTTCCGTCGTAACACCTGCCTCCTCTGTCAAGTCAACCTTATGCAAGAAACCTCTCTGTCTTCTATCGTTTAGAAGTCAGCGTTACACTATAGCTCCATCTTGCATCAATGTAAGGCCTGGGTGTAGGCGTAGCCAGCCGTGGATCAGAGGGACAGTATGAGCCATATAGGACTCAGCTCCTATTTTCCCATATTCCTTCTCCCAAAATAGTATAGGACCCTTTCCAAGACCACCTGAGAAGCAGCCCCAGAACATCCAACCTCTAGGGATTGTTAGTAAATCCTATAGTAAATAGGAGTCTCTCACCTTCTCCGTTGTACTCTATCTACAACACACGTATCATCCCACATTTCCCCTGCTTTTCGAGTAACCCACGTATGTCATACTGACATTCGTTGCACTCAGTTTGCTATCAAACTCAAGAGCAAACTTAGAAATATCCTCCTCAAACCTACAAGTCACTATACATATTTTGGCTTGTCACACCAACAACAAGAGCAATACTACTCAACGATTGCTACAACCCTCTATGATTCATTACACGTCATTGCTCCTTAGTTACTGGGCCAATATGACCACATAGCATATCTCTACAACCCTCTATGATTCATTACATGACATCACTCCTTAGTTACTGGGCTAATACTACACATGACATATCTCTATTAGAGGCCTAGGAACATGAGCGATAGCTCCAAAAGCTTCTACAACCGTGTATGATTCATTACACGTCATCGCTCCTTAGTTACCCACAAGATTAGTTAAGTTATGACATAATCTGTCTATAGGGGTACTCTGACCTTGGACCTCCTTTCACTTCCTATAGGCTAGGAACCTAGGAGATGGTTCTATGGGATTCTCTTATGTCGACTACAGTTATCAAGCCTGGTTAGTCATGGAAAGTCTTGGAAAATGAGAGAACTACACTCCTTTAGCATAAATAGGATTGCCCTTTCCTTAAGAAAGGGCAAGCACACAATACAGTAAATCGACTATCACATACTTCCACATCTTTTCCAAGCTTCCAAGCATTGATCTTGTTACTCCTTGTTACTCCTTGTTTCTGAAAAGTCAGTGAGGTGCTAACCTCTGACTTATCCCTGAGTTCTCAGACTCAACATTTGTTACAACTTGTCTAAACCACTCCACTACATCATACACCTGATTGCTGCATTGTGGAATAGTCTAAGCTACAACCCTTTGGCTCTGTTTCCTAAGACAGTGTGTTGTCTTTGTAAAATCATCCCTTTCCTTGGGTGGCTAGATTCTCACATCTGGTGCACCCACCATTACACCTTGCTCCATTTTGTAGCAGCAAGGGACCCCTGTATAATGTAGTATATATGTAGTTAGTATAATAGCTTGGCATTCAATCTAACTAAATATAGTAATATAAAATTTGATTCTTACTGTATGATTTGAAGCCTAGAACTGGTGATTTGGTGATTTGACTATTGTATGGATGGATTTCGGCTGGATTTCGGTGTTTCCAGCTTGGCAGTAACAACCAACAACCAACAACCAATGCCCCTTTTCCAAACCAGGATACTCTGCTGACTCATCAGCTTCCTCCCTCATTGTGGCATCGGATATACCTGTTGTAAAGTGTAAGGATGCCTCCGCCCTCAGTGACAGAAGGGATCTGAGTCGGACTGGTTACGGTCACGTGGTAAGAATTAAAGGCAGGTCCTCCGCCCTCAGTTACGGAGAGGATCTGAGTCAGACTAGTTATGGTCACGTGGTAAGAGTTAAGGCGGTTAGCCAAGTCGGACCCGTTTCAGGTACTTAAGGAGATTGTCGTGAGCGCGATGACCGCTTCCATGGCAATGGAAGCATTTGCCAAGCTTCATAAGCGATTCTTTCTCAGGATCTTAGTGGGGAGGGCAGTAGAGCTTCTTCTGTTGTAAGGACACAGGGCACCCAGCTCACAGTAATAGCATATGGGAGTGCGAATCGTAGGCTAAACGAATGCTATCCTATAGGTCTACTATGAAGGATACAAAAAAGATAATGGGGAACCCGTTGCCCACAGAAGCAGAAAGTTAGAGTCAATGAGATCTTTACTACAGAAGAGCATGCTCAATATGAGTCGGGAAACGAATAGCCTCTAGAGAAGACGTCACTAGAGGTTCTACAGCAAGAATTGCCTCCTCTGCCTCATCATTGTCCCATTTTGACTATGATACTCCGTTCCTAGCTACCTGCAGAATAGGAAGAAATCAAATTGTCATGCAAGCCTTAATGGATAGTGGTGCAACAGGTGGGAATGCTGTTGACGCAAAACGAATTTGTGAAATTGAGAACATCTCTCCTATCCAACTTATAAAACCAAAGAACATCAAAGGATTTAATGGAGTTGCAGCACCTACAGTTACGCATGCTATATATCCTCGACTACAAATTGGAGATCACGTTGAAAGTCTATGCCCTCTATTCATTACTACTCTTGGGAAACATTCTATCATTCTTGGGAAAGCTTGGATGAAGCAGCATGGAGTCACACTTGATATGGTAAACGACAAGTCATCTTTACAAAGGGTCACTGCCAGCACACTATACCAACAGACACTTTAAAAGTGAAAACTGCAAGTCCCCAAGCTGAGAAGCAAATACAAGATAAAGAAGCTCCGAAGCCAGCCCTCCAACCTCATTATAAGAACAAGAACACATGCACTGTTACAATGATTAGAGCTGCACCATTCAATATGCTTCGGAAGCAGAAAGGAGCTAAGGTTTTTGCAGTATCATTTAAAGATATATTCGCTGAACAAGCAAAGGAGGAAACGAAAGAAATCGACCCAAAGCTGATCCTCCTAAAGGAGTTCCATAAATATCTCGATGTGTTCTCAAAACAGGCTGCAGACAAGCTCCCGCCTCATAGATATGCAGACCATCACATTGTGTTAGAAGGGAACTCGAAATTAGGGCGTGCACCACTCTATAACATGTCTCGAGAAGAGCTTGATCTTGTGAAGAAATACGTGGAGGACAATCTTACCAAAGGATTCATCGAAGCTAGCAAAGCACCATTTGCCTCACCTGTGTTATTTGTATGCAAACCAGGAGGTGGACTTCGATTTTGTGTAGACTATCGCAAACTAAATGCAATCACAAGGAGAGACTCATACCCACTTCCCCTCATTGATGAAACATTGGCTCAAATCACAGGTGCCAAATATCTTACAAAGAATGATATTAGACATGCCTTTAATCGAATTCGCATGCAGACAGAGGAGGACAAAGATCTGACAACATTCAAAACTCGATTTGGATCATACAAATACAAAGTTCTTCCATTTGGACTTACAAATGGCCCAGCAACATTCCAACGATATATGAATGAAACATTAATGGAATACATAAACAAATTCGTCACTGCATACATGGACGATCTTCTTGTCTATAGCACAAGTAAGGAGGAACATGTTAAGCATGTCAAAATGGTTCTACAAAAGCTTCGAGAAGCAGGACTACAAGCAGATATAGCAAAATGATCGTTAAGTTGACAAGTGGTTTCCTAATGTTTGAATAGTTCTTCATAAACCTTCGATAGAACACACAGAATCCGATAAAAGCTTGCGTGTCCCGTAATGATTTTGGTGCTTTCCAATCGAGTATAGTGTTCACCTTTCCAGGATCCATGTGAATTCCATTAACTCCAATGATGAGTCCTAAGAATTTTGTCTCTTGAACGAAGAATTCGCACTAGCGCAGTCGAAGCACCAACAGCATTCCCAATTTGCCGCCCATCTCCACAAAAACAACACCATCTCTACGTCTTGCCCTGACTCTGCCTCGTTGAAAATATGGCCTGCTTTCAGCATCTCTACTTCAGATGCATTTCGCCATATTGTAACGGGGTGCCGCCGTTACAGTACATGTGGTATATAAAGCGTGTTACGCGTATTCCGGGCGAGCCGGAATACTGTAGTCTTTTTGGCTCAGTGGGATGTAGCGCGAGCGTAACCGTACATCATTACACATATCCATCCCCATTTTCGACAAGCACTCGGATAGGATTTAGCAGATTATTGCCACGGCTGGGAGTCTCGTATTTTTCCTTGATACCGATTTATGGGTGTGTAGCCTTGATGTGGCGAGAATCACGACAAGCAGTCATGGAGCTATGAGGCATTTTTTCTTGCTTTCGAAGTGGCAGAGCAGTGATAGAGGCTTTATCATTGAATACATGCCATCAAGGCGAGAGTTTATAATAGCGATGAAGCATGGCATACTTGTTTTCAGCAGGGGATTGGAATTCGAGGAGCCTTGGTTCTCATAATGTACGGGAGTCATAGAACCTGTAACGCCGACAAGTACTTTGGGAGCGCAAGTCAAGGCTATTAGAATACAGTAACTCGTATTATGTTCGGAATATATGGGTTGCTACTATTTGTCGTTTAGACCTTTGCTCCCAATTTCCACAAACCGCTCCAGAACTGACTCCCTTATTCTCACCTCTGAAATCCCCATATTCTGCGGAAACCACCCCTTAATACTCTCCTCCTTTCCGAGTATCATCATTCCCAATGCCTTACCACACAGCCAGGCATTCACCATTCCCTCCCCCGAATACCCCACGCTCACCCATTCCGCTCCCTGTCCCGACCCCCTCTCAGTTAAAGACCCAGGCAGCTTTCCAACCCAGGGAAGCATATCAACACTAAACCCCATATTCCCCGTCCACATGCTCTTCACCTCAAACCCATCTCCCCCGACATTCTCAAATGCCCTCCCAAGACCTTGCCTCAAATGCTCCGCAACATTCTCATTTAACTCCGCGTCGCTCGCGACGCCCATCTCCACCAGGCCACTAAACCCTGCTTGCACAAACCCACCTCCAAACATCATCTCCCCTCCACCGTCCCATTCATCCCCTCTAGTTTCTCTCTTCGGTAACTGTGTCAAGTAATCAAACCCGACATCATACTCAAAGCTCCACGACCTCTCTTCCCCCTGATGCGAAAATCCCTGTGGCGGCACCTGCGCCGACATCTGCCCACGTAGCGGATAAACCCTCCCTCTAAATCCCGGAACTAGGTGGCCAATATGGGCATTACTTGCATGGACGACATGCCTTGCTCTGATATCACCCCTCGGCGTCGATACAATGAAAAGTCCATCCTCAGACATTGAAATACTCGTCGCAGGCGTATGCGCACAAACATGGAACCCCTCATCATCGCGCTTCAGGTTCGCCAGCACACCAGATACAAAAAGATACGGCCACATCGCTCCAGCTTTGCCCTTGATAATTCCATATGCCCCCGGTACCCCCATCGTCTGCATCTCTTCTGCCCCCTCAGTAGTCTTGCAAGCATCTACTTCCCCTCCGAAGTCCTCCTTGAACCCTTTGACTGCCGCTTTCCCCCTTTCCCATCCCTTCTTCCCATAGAACACACACGTAGACTCCACGACTCTCATCCCGCACTCTTCGCTGAGGTCCTCTTCAGAAACAACACGCATAAGCTCATCCACGTGCGCCATCCGGAAGCGCGTGATCTTTTTCGCTTCCTCCCGCCCGTACCGCGTCACTAGGTCCCCGTACTCCTCCCATCCGACTTCGTTCACGTGGCCTCCATTGCGTCCTGTGGCACCACTGCATACATCGCGAGCATCGAGGACGACGATGGGATTTTGTTTCTTGTCTTGTTTCGACAACGAGGAGCGCTGGGATCGGACGAGGTGCCGTGCGATGGAGGTACCGGTTATGCCGGAGCCGATGATGACAATTTCAGCATCTGGAGGTGGGGGCGATGGGGATGTAGAGAATGCAGGATGGAGGGGCGAGAGCCAGAAGGAGGAGGTTGCTGGGGGTGAGATGGTGGGCAGGCCGGGGTCAGAGAGGATTCGGGTTATGGCTTCTGACTTTGCAGCTGAGGGGATGTCAGGGGACGATAGTAAGGGAAGGATAAACGACATTGTATGTTGTAATTTGAGGTTGTTGTTGTGTTGATGTAGATATGGGGCGACGTGGGGTTTGTAGGGCGGGGGGTGCGGGTAGAGGCGGGAGTGGGGTTCACGTTGTACAAAGTATAATCGTGGGTGGAAGCAATGTGCGGCAACTCGAAGCGAGGGGAAGCAATATGCGGCAACTCAAATTCAACCTGCATATGTTCACCGCTACTCTCACCAAAACCCTCAGCATTCCCGTACATAGTATTTTATATAGTAATTAAGTGTAACTCATATAATCTTGTTATCGTTAATGACAGTGGGTATTCAAACGACGACATTGCAATTCAATACCTCTAGGGTGCGTCATGGGGAACCGGTGGTCCTAGACCGGCAGTCTGAAACATTTCTAACCTAGACCGTGGTCTAGGTGTGGAATCATTAAAGAAAAGGAAGGGCCTAATTCTAACCCTTGCTCCTAGCTAGAAGCTTAGAACTAAAGAACCCAAGATGCTACAGGCTTAGAAGTCTGCTTAGAACTCCGCTAGAAAGACAACGTTGTCATACTGAAACTCAATCTTCAAAGTGGAGAGCTTGTTTGAGAGCTGGTGAAGGAGGAGTGGCTGTGAAGCTTAATGCGCGTAATGTTTCTACGGATAGTTCTGCTTCTAGGGAACTGGCCCAAGCGTAGACGCGCATGCCTCTGTGGTTGATGGAAACGAAATTATCCGCGTAGAGAGGATGGTTGAAAATGGCTGTGTTGCTATCACCTTCGTGATTTATTAGGAGTCCGATTTTATCGCCCATTGTCGTCCAAACCTCAGCTGACGTTTTACTTTGAGCTCTCATTCAAAGTATAACCTGGAGATAGCAACGCTTTTCCAGGTTGCTGACGAGGTCTCTGGGTGCCGGCTGTGATATGGATACTATCGGTCCATTGCCATCGCTCCGTCTTGGAGCGATGTCGTCTATAAAGAGAAGTGTTATAGCTTGGTGATTAGTATCAAAACTAAAGACTTGGGTCCCTTCTTCTGGGTTCCAAACTTTCACTTTCCGAATGCCACTAGAGACCATATATTTATCCTCGCTACTAAAAATAAGCATCTTTGCCCTTTCGCCGTGGCTAAGGGTAAATTTTGGGCGATAGACTCTTTTAGAGGAATATAGTACCGTCAGATAATGATACCGCTGCGTACTGCTCTCCTCAAACCTACAAGTCACCATACATATCTTGGCTTATCACACCAACAACAGAAGCAATACTACTCAACGATTGCTGCAAACTCTTCTACTACATCTGTTTATGCTACATACATCACGGCATATCATTTGGACACTCATTGAACAAGTTATTAAGAAAATATCCTCCTTAAGGGGGTGGGCCAATACTACCACATGGCATATCTCTACCAACTAGAGGCCTAGGAACATGAACGATAGCTCTAGAAGCTTCTACAACCCTCTATGATTCATTACACGTCATCGCTCCTTAGTTACCCACAAAATTGGTTAAGTTATGACATAATTTATCTATAGGTACTCTGACCTTGGACCTCCTTTTCACTTCCTATAGGCTAGGAACCCAAGAGATGGTTCTATGGGATTCTCTTACGTTCACTACATGATTAGCAAGCTAGTTGTGGGTCGCACTTGATTTCTAATACATTTACCAAGCCTGGTTAGTCATGGAAAGTCTTGGAAAATGAGAGAACTACACTCCTTTGGCATAAATAGGATTGCCCTTTCCTTAAGAAAGGGCAAGCAGGCAATACAGTAAATCAACTATCACATACTTCCACGTCTTTTACAAGCTTCCAAGCATTCATCTTGTTACTCCTTGTTTCTGAAAAGTCAGTGAGGTGTTAACCTCTGACTTACCCCTGAGTTCCCAGACTCAACATTTGTTGCAACTTGTCTGAACCACTTCACTACATCATACACCTGATTGCTGCGTTGTGGAATAGTCTAAGCTACAACCCTTTGGCTCTGTTTCCTAAGACAGTGTGTTGTCTTAGTAAAATCATCCCTTCCTTGGGTGGCTAGATTCTCACATCTGGTGCACCCACCATTACAGATATTACCACATAGCATATCTCTACAACCCTCTATGATTCATTACACATCATCACTCCTTAGTTACTGGGTGTAACACTGACTTCTAAATGATAGAAGTGTCATACTGACATTCGTTGCACTCAGTTTGCTATCAAACTCAAGAGCAAACTCAGAAATATCCTCCTCAAACCTACAAGTCACTTGTAACGCTGACTTCTAAACGATAGAAGACACAGAGGTTCTCTTGCGTAAAGGTTTACTTATCAGAGGAGGCAGGGGATCGGACACAAAGGCTTCAAGTAACACGTTACTAGTATATAACAAATACTGTATTGAGTTGAGCACGAAGCTCCTATCTAAGAACTAACTATCTACTTATATAGTGGCGTCGTGCCTAGTGGACTCCTGGGAACTCACTCGAGTCCTCGGAGTCCTGGACTCTTAGGATTCTTCTCATCATCCTGCGAGTCCGTCACGTGCCTAGTGGACTCCTGGGAACTCACTCGAGTCCTCGGAGTCCTGGACTCTTAGGACTCTTCTCATCATCCTGCGAGTCCGTCACATGATACTTTCGGAACTACTATTCCCCGCTGCCCCTCCAGATACCAGGGCCGGTCTCATGCGACCTCCCTCCTTCCTGTCCTGTAGTTGGCCAGCCTTCTTGTTCCGTCGTAACATCACTATACATATTTTGGCTTGTCACACCAACAACAAGAGCAATACTACTCAATGATTGCTACAACCCTCTATGATTCATTACACGTCATCGCTCCTTAGTTACCCACAAGATTGGTTAAGTTATGACATAATTTGTCTATAGGGGTACTCTGACCTTGGACCTCCTTTCAAGGAACCTAGGAGATGGTTCTATGGGATTCTCTTACGTCGACTACAGTTACCAAGCCTGGTTAGTCATGGAAAGTCTTGGAAAAAGAGAGAACTACACTCCTTTAGCATAAATAGGATTGCCCTTTCCTTAAGAAAGGGCTAGGGTGCATCATGGGGAACCGGCGGTCTCAGACGGGCGGTCCGAAACATTTCCAACCCAGACCACGGTCTGGGTTGGAAATCCAGGGCAAACCGCCCAGACCGGTCAGGTCCAAGAGAAAAAGTTCCTCCAGACGCCAATGAAGTAAAGGTGCAGTGGGATATGATCATAGTAGATCCTAGGTATGTTAGCTGATTACTATAAATATTAACGTACATGTATAACGAGTCGGCCACCCAAGCGAGTCGGCCACTTTCCACTGACCACCTATATATTATATAAATCAATTCAACTACAATGCCTTAAATCAATTAAAACTACTCAGAATCGCCATCTTCAGACGTCTCCCAAACTACTTGACAAGTTCGCGAATTATGACCAGTTTGGCTGCAGTTGCCACAACGCCGAGTACGTAGCTGAGCCCGCTCTGTAGAACTACCCTCCCTACGTGTATTTTCTCTCCTAGCATCAACTATACCCTTTTCTAGCCGTATCGCATTAGCTTCAGGTGCTGAAAGCGAACCTCCAAGCTGTAGGCGGCTCTTTTTAGCCCTCCGGCGTTTGCTTAGTAACTCATTTGCTGTACAAAGCTCCTGGTTCTCAGCTTCAAGAAGGACTAGTCTGTGTGCTAGCATTGAGATACCTTTAGCCTGGGCGTCAACTACATTATATAAATGGGTTGGAGAGCTACCCTGATGCCTAGCAATCCTAGATTTCAAGGTAGTAGAGCTTTGAACAGCCTCAATTGCTGTAGTTGGCGTTTTTAGACCCCAGGAGGTAGCGGTTCCTGGCCGAGAGTTTGACGGTGTAGGCGTTCTAGGCTTAAAATCCAGCTGAGAAATTACTGTTTCAGGGTCGTATGGAACAAGGCCAGTTGCTCGGAAGCCAGCTCGTACATTCTCTTCTCCCATTGAAGCAAAAAAGGCCTGCTGGAAGGCAGGAAAGAAGTCGTATTTAGTAATGTGAGTTATATGCCTCCACATCATCTGCTCAATTGCCTTGCTATACGAAGCTTTTAAAGGGCTAAAACAGCCTACATCGAGAGGCTGGAGGATATGCGATGAATGGGGAGGCATGCAAAGCGGTATAATATTGTTAAGCTTGCAGAAATCGTCGAATTCAGTAGCCCGGTGGCTGTTGTGGCCATCGAGGATTAGAAGTCTATATCCACCAGTTGTACGAGGCTTAGTACATCCCTCAAAGTGATTCAACCAATCTAGGCCTATAGCGTTTGTAGTCCAGCCATTTTCGCTCGGATGGATCCGCCAGGTTGGTGGGAATTGGCCGTTGGTATACCAGGAGAGGAGGTGATATTTGCCCTTAACAATGATATATGGCGGCATTGCCCAGCCATCTGCACATACACCCTGGATTACAGAAACCCATTCCCGATTGCCAGGCTGCTTTGTACGAGGTCTGTCCTGTCGATCAGAGGTTGTTACAACCTTAGCATGCGAGAGCATTCCCATCAAAAACCCAGTCTCATCAAAGTTGTAGATGTCTGAGTTGACAATACCGTATTTTGCAATTGTATTCTGTACAAGTGCAAACCAAGCTTGTATAATCTTAGGATCTTCAGCTAGGGCCCTCTGGTAGTCAATTTGACGTCGAAAACGCATATTAAGGGCTGGTTGGCGTCGTACGAAGTTCCCTGCCCATCGTGAGCCAACACACATTGCGTCGCATACCCCAAGGAGGCAATTGGCCATATCTTGTATATCTTCGAGCTGGGGCGGAAATCCTTGCTCAATTAGATCAATAATACGATCAAGAAGCACACTCTCTTCAGTATTGGTCAACTTCCTCCTATTTGCAGTTATATCGCGTCTTGATAGTTTTCCAGTGCGTCGGTCGGCCAAAGTCGCCCGGGGAACCTTATAGATACCTGCTGCAGCTCGTTCGGTAAGTTTAGGGTCGTTTTTAAGAGCTTCAATTGCTAGGATTATACGGCTTTCATTTGAAGTAGATTCCATTTTTGTACGTAGAGGGAAATAGTTGCAAAGTAAAAGGTGGTGGAAATGGTGGAAAGTGGCTGACTCGCTTGGG